GAAGGAAATATAACGTGCCAACCGCTGCTGTTAAAGCATCCGATTACACACTTTGAAAGCATGAATACAAACCATTTTACTTTTTAGTATGAGTTTAATAATATGAATAAGATCTTTTGACTATATGAAATATAACTATTTTATTTTAAGTAAAAAAAAATTAATACTAACTTTTAAATACTTATTCTTTTACAATAAATTGATTTAGATTTTAATAAAAGAAATAAAATGTTAAATAATTAAAACAATCAAGAGATCATAAAAAGAATATATATATTTATTAATACATAATTATGTGACGTGTGACGTGAAAATAGAAATATTATTCAAACTTAAATACCTTTTCAATATGATTCAGTTTAGCTTTAATATTAATTAAGATACTAAAGATGATAAAATTATTTAAATTAATATATTTAAGGTGTGAGATTAAGTCAAATTATATATATATATATATATATATATATATTGATTTTTTACTTTTGAGGATCAAGTTATGATCTCGTTATGACTAAAATAAATGAATATTTTACTAATTAATAATATATTTTAAAAATAATTAATTATATGTATAAGTATTAATTAAAAATAATGCATAAAAAAATTCTTCTATCAATTAAATAAAATTTTTCTAGTAATTAAAATTGATATCCTTATCAACTCATAAAATTCATACTGTAAATAAATTATAAAAAAAGACTACACATATCGAATTGAATAATGATAACAACATATTGTATTTTATATTGTGTAATATATAAAGCTAAAATTTACATACTAAATATTTAACCAATTAAAACGGAATTGGTGATATCCAACTATTTGAAACAAAATATTCTGAAAAATAAAAGTATACGATTTTTACAATACTGAAAATAAGAAATATTAAGAAAGAATGAATTAAGATTGTATTCTTCTTAGAAAATAAAACATTAATATAATTATATTCTATTGAGTCAACTTTGACTATATTTCAACTTTCTCAAATTCAAGTGCGAGGCATAATTTAGTATGTTTTGAATGACGAAACAGCCACGTTGTGATGATATCGTTACTTTGCAATTTATGATTTTGGAAGATAGTTTTCCAAGGTAAGAGAATATAAATTCTCATAATCATCACAGGCACAAACTTCTACTCCCTCTTCGATATCTTTTGAATCTTTTAATATTGGCAAAAAATATTTTTCAACTTCTTTTTTATTGAAAAGAAGTCTATTTAAATTAACATTCACATCACTCTTTGTGAGTTTCTTTTTGAGAAGTTCTTCACTATGATATAAAACATAATTTCTGAAGTTTGCAAATGATGTATAAGAAGGCTTATCGCCATTCTTATGAATCAAATATTCTTGAGAACAAAAACAATCTTTTGACAATCCTTCAACAATTTTTGGAAATGCTTCGTTACTTGTCTTCATATTCTTTTCATCAAAACCTTCCAAATGAAAAGGAAAAAAAATATTAATATACATAATAAAAAGTTTTTATATTGAATAATCTAGAACAATCTTTTAATCTATTAATCAATTATAAAATCATGTGTTTATCATGATATTTACGAACAATGTTAATGTTAATTTAATGAGAACAAGCGCCTGGTGTAAGACCGAGCACTTACTTAGTACGAGCGCTTGGTGTAAGACCGAGCACTACTTAGTACGAGCGCTTGGTGTAAGACCGAGCACCACTTAATACGAGTGCTTGGTGTAAGACCGAGCACTACTTAGTACGAGCGCTTGATGTAAGACCGAGCACTACTAAACTTATAGAAGAAAGGCTTGATAAATGTAATAAGATACCATTTAACTAGTGTTCAAGAATGAACGAAATATACACATCCATATAGATATACTTAAGTTTATAACAGAATACCAAGGAACGAATATCCTTGGTTGAACGCTTATATACAAATATTATTAAACGAAAATGCTCGGTCCTCAACTGGAATTCCATCCAAATGAAAGAATCCAGTTCCAACCGAGTCCACAAGAAAACCGAACGGTCAAAGACCTTCAGTGACGAACATCAATTTTCATATGGAATTACATACTTAGAATTCTTTATATCAATTCATTTCTCCACATCTATCTTTATAATTTCATACATCCATATCATAGTAAATATTCATACTTCATATAGTAAAAAACATAGCAACAATCATATTCATTCAGCAATTCAACGAGCATGCATCCATTCAAAACGAACATAAAATCAAATTATATAAGCTTCCCCCTCTAACGTGACCGAACGCTTCCAGATATGGTTATTGGTTCACCTCTATAAGTCCTTCTACCCTCAACGCTCAACAATTTCCAAAACTAAACCAAGTGAAAACCAAAACACTATCAGAACCACTCATTTTAGAAGAGTGATCAACACATGAAACCAGAACTTGGTTTGCACGTCCAGGAAAACGCACGACTGAGTGAAGAGAAGAACTTACCAGCTCAGCTTCACAAACTGATCGGTTCAATCGAAAGCCCTTGAGACCTGAAGAGTGGAAATGGTGCCTGAGTGATGATCGGAGAAATGAATGGTTAAGATTTCTTAGAGAGAAGATGAAGAAATCTAGAGAGAATGAGGAGATTTCAGAAGGTTGAAGATAGATGGTGCATGCAGAGAAGTGGCACGAAAATTTGAAAGTTTCAGTTTTACTCCTACCGTCAAAACCGAACGGCCACTCAGCTGCTCACACCTGCCTTCCACTATCTGATTTTCGGATCCCCTTCCTTGACACATGTAATCCAGTAAGATGGAGTTTTTTGGTGGATTTTAATGAGTATGACATAATGTAGTGTATTTTTTCTTATAATTACTAAAATGTCCATCATATATTAAAAACACATATTAAATTATATAGTAAAATATGATAAAAAGTTTGGTGTTAAAAAAATCAAATACACAGAGTGGATAATCTTATTCAAAATCCACGATATTTCAAGCGAACAAATCCTAGTGTTTGGCTGTCTTTGTATTTATAAATGACGTAGTTACGTATCTTCTAAATAAGAAAATAATATTTCAGTTCAAAAATATTAAAATAATATTAAAAAATAAATATTTTTATCATTTTGTTAAAATGTCTCTAAAATTACAAGATTGGCTAACTAAATCAAACTTCTTATAAAACTTAAGCTAATTCATGAGCATGTAAACTTTGAATCGACCTTTGAACATTCTTTCTATCTTTGAATATTAGGTTGAATCTTGAACAACTAGGATGGTACACAGCCCACAACCTTGAGTTAGAGTATCTAAAAGGCTGAAAAAGTTCATTAAGCTCCTTAAGCTCATTTTGAATACTTTCTTGTGAAACTTTTTCACTAGCTCTCTTATCTTATCATTTTTAAATTTGGGGTTATCTCTTTGCATATAGCTATTTTAATTTGCACTTTATCACTCCACTTTTTCTCACATCATCTTCAGGTAAGTTTCTTCCCTTTTTTATTAAATTCGACATCCGTCTATAGTACATAATAATTTATGGCTTAAATTATTTACCCACAAAATGAACAAATTGTTGGTTTTTTTTATTAAAATAATTTATTTCCTGATTTATTAAAATAAAATATTATTATAAAATATTTAAATTTAGTAAAATAAAATATTACTATTAAATATTTACGTGGGTTAATTATAAAATTACTATAAATTATTTAAGTTGGTTAAAATAAAATATTACTATAAAATACTTAAGTTTGTTAAAATAAAATATCACTCTAAAATATTTAAGTTGGTTGATATATACTACTACTATAAAATATTTAAGTTGATTAAAATATAATATTACTTTAAAATACTTAAGTTGGTTAAAATAAAATATTACTTTAAAATATTTAAGTTTGTTAAAATATAATATTACTATAAAATATTTAAGTTGATGAAAATAAAATATTATTATAAAATATTTGAGTTGGTTAAAATAAATTTTTTCTATAAAATATAATTATATTAAAAGTATTAATATTAGATTTCATAAAATATATGTTACTGCTGGGTTCAAAATTGTCCCCATTAGATTCAAAGTTGTCCTCCCATGTGATATTTGAGGAGCATCTCTAGGAGTTGTTCTTACTTTCTGTAGTTGTTCTTGTTCACGGAAGCCATCTCCATCTTTTGTCGCGACTCTTTTGTTTCTTTATGAAACCATTCATGTTCGGCCTGGGCAATATCATTCAATCTTTGCCTTGATGATTTATATTTTTGCAATTTACATTTTAATAGTCTCTTTATAGTCTTACTTTTGCTATTTTAATAGTCTCTGTATAAATATTTGTTTTACATTTCTTACTTTTTCAAAGTGAAACATAAAGTAGAGAATTCGTGAATAATAAGACCTGAGGCATATGTGAAGTGGAGATTTAGTTTGGATGAAGATGTGGCCCTTATAAGAGCTAGAGAGTGGTTGTTTGATTCAAATCTTATCCATGAGGCTTTTGGGGAACAAAGAAGAAAGAGAAGGGTGGAATGGATGAGCTTTGACAAATAGGGTTGCCCGTTGAATAAAAAAAACGATAGTGGGATTCTAAATCGAGAGATCACTTTATCTTATTTTAAATTTAAAATATGGGAGAGGTACAAATTCCAAATATATAGAGACACACAACACACGTTTTCTACTACTAGTATAAAATAAAAGTATAACACATTTATAACTTTATTAATTAGATACACGCAATATTGGTAATTGTAAGAAAAATAAAACACCAAATCATAACGGTCAGTATTAAAAAGATAGTTACCTCTTTAGGCGGTTGTTATCTCTATCTTTAAATTTGATCAATGATGTGTTTCGGTATGAGGGTATATAAAAAAAAATTCTTAGTTTACAGTCGGATCCAATTGTGAATTAAGTTTTATTTTGAAACTGGATTTGATGAAAGAAGAGTGACGATAACTTTACCAGACATAACTTGAAAAATGTTCAATTGGACACAGAATGCTATATACGTGATGGAATGGACTGGTTGCATCAATTGGGGAGTAAAAAGTAAGTGGTGATCAAAACGAGCACAGGCACCTGGCACTGACTATGCTTTCCTGTTAAACCAAAAAATCAAGAAAAGCAGTCCGCGGAAGGACAATGTTGTTACAAGGTTTACCAAATCAAAATACTGTTACATGTACCGGCCAACTGACTACAAGCTACAGCTGATCAATAAATTAGCAGTATAAAACAAAAAAAGAAACCCATGCTTTGGAGATAAAATAATAATAATAATAAATAATAATATACAGAGGAAGGAAAAGAGAGACTAACTATGAAACTTGAATCATTTCTTGGAACGTTTCTTGGGTCGCTTATCTTTGCCAGCACTAGCACTATTTTCCCTCCCACGCTTTGAACTTCCTGCATTTGTCTCTGCTGCCTTCTTTGGAGGTCTACCAACACTCCTCTTCGACTGAGAGCTGTTCTCGATGTTCTTATTCCTTTTATCCGCAGACCCTGATCCCCCTCCAACGCCATGCCTTGATGCCCTTTCTTTCCCTTTATCCCCTTTTACATTATTCACCATTTTCTTCTGCTCTTTGGCACCAACACCACCTCCACCTCCCTTGCTGCTGCTACTACTTCCTCCTCCTCCGGCACCACCACCTTTCACTGCGTCCACTGAAGTATTTCGCTTTATCCGTTTCAAGAAATCTGCAGCAGCACTCCTCTTCTTGTCTGCCCCTCCCTCTGCTTTGCTCTTCTCTGGTTTAAGACNATCAAGAAAAGCAGTCCGCGGAAGGACAATGTTGTTACAAGGTTTACCAAATCAAAATACTGTTACATGTACCGGCCAACTGACTACAAGCTACAGCTGATCAATAAATTAGCAGTATAAAACAAAAAAAGAAACCCATGCTTTGGAGATAAAATAATAATAATAATAAATAATAATATACAGAGGAAGGAAAAGAGAGACTAACTATGAAACTTGAATCATTTCTTGGAACGTTTCTTGGGTCGCTTATCTTTGCCAGCACTAGCACTATTTTCCCTCCCACGCTTTGAACTTCCTGCATTTGTCTCTGCTGCCTTCTTTGGAGGTCTACCAACACTCCTCTTCGACTGAGAGCTGTTCTCGATGTTCTTATTCCTTTTATCCGCAGACCCTGATCCCCCTCCAACGCCATGCCTTGATGCCCTTTCTTTCCCTTTATCCCCTTTTACATTATTCACCATTTTCTTCTGCTCTTTGGCACCAACACCACCTCCACCTCCCTTGCTGCTGCTACTACTTCCTCCTCCTCCGGCACCACCACCTTTCACTGCGTCCACTGAAGTATTTCGCTTTATCCGTTTCAAGAAATCTGCAGCAGCACTCCTCTTCTTGTCTGCCCCTCCCTCTGCTTTGCTCTTCTCTGGTTTAAGACTCTCTGATGGCTTGTTACCCGAGGACCCCGCCTTAGGAGTGGAGTTAGAGGGAAGTTTCTTATTGTTGAGGTTCTTGTTGCTCCTTCTCAGACTTCTCGCTCCAGTGACAGGCTTCTCCTTGGCCTTGGGGGGCTCGTCTTCGTCTGTATCAGAAGAAGAAGGTTTCGTAGGAGGTTTTGAATCAGAAGGTGCCCTTTCCTTCTTGTCGTTGAAGATGGGTTGGTCATTCTTTTGGCCAAAATTGGTCGAGGAAGGTTTCGCTGACATTGAACTGCGTTTGCGGCAAACCAATATGGGACCAGAGGCTTTGTTCTTGGACAAGAGAGAATCTGCTTTGGCTACTGGTATGTTTGGAGGGAGTGAATCGCTCTTCCGGGGGATAGGGTCGGATTGTGCTTGGCCGTGGTTCTTCATCTCGGTGGTGACAAGGCGGTGCAGCTGCCTTGCCGCCTGTGACTCTGGAGAGTCAACGGGGAAGATGACGGTAGCGTTGGTGAACAGGAGGAGGAGGTCGCGGAAGAATGCACTAGTGCATGAGAAATACTGACCTTTCTGGATTCTTGATTGTATGGTTTCCATGTCCAGTGGCTGTTTCACTATGTCTTTGTATCTGTCCGACTCCAGCTGCCACAAGAGACCACACCAAAATATGTTCACTAAATTGTCATAATTGCACGAACCTACATCTAATATCCATTCAAGGTTAAATTTTTAACATGCGAAACAGGTATTTTATCCTGCGAAATCATTGGGCTTTTCGTCAACATGTACAAATACTTATTTTTATTAGCACACGTGTACATATAATGTCCACTCAGGAAACATATATGAGTTTCTAAGGTCTAAGGGTTTGGTCAGATTAAAAATTGAATTATTATAATATAGATAAAACATTTGATTACTTGCAATTAATTTTTGGGATATATTTAGCAATAAAAAGATCTTTAAAATAACCATGAGAGGGCGCACACATCTATGACCGCGCTTTTGCTGTTTCAACGAGAAAGGACGAGCACAGGAACAACCAGGGAAAGGGCACAAAAAGCTACTGTCCATTAGTATTTCCACTACCGTACAGATTTTCTTTTTATTATCAAATCCAAACATTAACAGCTTAGTGCCAATTCGGTAGCATTCCCGTCCCGTCCAATCCACACATTCGATTAGACAAAGAACATTAAATTGATTACATTTTTTAATAAAATACTAATTATAATTATATTATTATATTAACTTAGTTGATATTTACATTTTTATATAACAGTGGAAACACATCTATATCCACGTTTTATCATAATCATTAAAAATAATAATATAATAAAGAAATACTTTTTATGATTTTATTCTAGGCAGTTAATTAAAAATTAATTATACAATTTAAACAGGAAAAATAAATTTATTCATATTAAGAAAGATATGTATAATTTTATTATAGATAATTAATTAAAATTTAAAAGTAATTATAAAATTTATAAAGTAAAATAATAAAATAATTTATATTAAGAAGGGTATTAATATTAATAAAGATAAAATAGGTAAAAACATGTAGACAAAAAAAATGTCATGAGGCAGTTACAAAACTAATAATCTCTATCAAATAGGTATAGATGCATTCTAAATGGATAAATAAATATCATTACAAAATTATTACTCTATCTGTGCGAAATTCATTATTCATAAATATATAATAAAGGAAAATAGATGTTTAGAAAGAAAAAAAAAGTAAACAGTGAATGAAAAATGCAAATAATAACTTGCAATAAGCATGTTTACTCTAAAAAACAGAAAGTATCCAAATTTAATATTCAGAGAAGACACAGTTGGATGACAAAGACTCGTGAACAAACACGTCACCGCCGCGAAGCATGGGCGCAAGAAAAGGGAACGAAAAAGAAAAGTTTAACCAGAATAATAATTAAAAATAAACTTGGTCTTGGTCAAGTTGTTTATTTTGGGTCGTAGTAAATAGGATTTAGCCCAAAAAGCTCTCCTAGTAGTGGGCTTATGACGATTCGGTCTAAAATAATTTGTGAGCTCGTTGCATGCGGCTGCACTCAAATACTGGGCTCACAAAACTACATATGGTAATATTGATACTTACTTTCCTTCCCACATTTAGGGTAAAATAAAGTAATTTTCTCGTGGGAGAAAATTAAATTGGCCTTATTTATTCTATTTTGGCCATGGGATAATGAGAAGTTATAATAAACATCTTCCAAATTAAAAGACTTCCAGGTTTCACATTGAGACCCGACAGATTTTACTCCCATGTTCATAATAATGGGCGGGTGTAGAAAGAAATTTATAAAATTATTTATCCAAATAATGTAATTAATTTTACCTTCTGACATATTAACGATATTAAAAATTCATCTCTTTCTTAAAATAAGTGCCATGAAACAATACGAACACGGCCATGTGTTATCTACCATTTTCGGCCGTGGGAAACTATCAAATCTTTAACTTCACTTTAGTCCTAGAAAAAGAAACTAGAAATGGATCCTCTCATTCGTTTTTCTCTTTATGATGAAATTGAATATATATCATGCTCTTTCAATTTTTATTTTCGATTCGCTCTTTTCTATTCACAAATTCCATACCCATTAAAACCAATCTGTTTCAAAAGTGGTCCCCTTCCGTTGGACAGTCACGATTTTAAAACCTCTTGCTTGCAATTAAATTTTACTTATTTAAAAAAATATATTTAATTTCTTTTAGTTAATTATTAGTGTAGGAAACATTTTGTATATATTCAACGTGCATGTATTAAAAAAAAGTAATTTGTTTTAATAATAAAAGAATGAAAGATTATTATTATTATTATTTAAAATTTGAAAGAAGTGAATTACCGGTTTTATCCACGAAAATAGTAAATGGAATACCTGGCTCTCAAGACGACTCTCGATTAATGAACAATGCTCATGTCCCTTGATCAACTCCAAAATACCAACCAACGGTTCTGATTTAACCGCTACCTCTTCGTTCTCCGGCAGTGTAGAAGCGCCGTCTCCGCGACCGTCGCCGCCGGAAACATCTTTTCTACGTCGCGTCTTCCTCTTTCGCGTCAAGCTGGCCGAGCTCTGCACTTCGCTGCTCTCCCTCGTCCCTCCCTCCCCGGAGTGAGCCACCGAGTCGTGCAACTCAGACGAGTCATCATCCTGCTCCACCTTCCTCTCGTCACTCGGAGGCACCGACTCACACGTTGGCACCTTCGCCAAGGCATCGTAGCTTCCATTATTCGATTCCTCCCCAACCGGTTTTCCCTTCCTCGCAACCGGGTCCACTTCTTTTGAACCGGTCTGAACCGGATCCGGTTCGACTTTTAACTTTGCATCACCTTCTCCGGTTTTATCAAACCTCGAACCGGTCGAGTTAGACTCGTTAACTGATTGATTCTCCCGGTCGGATTCGTCGCCCGTTGTTGGCAACATCTTGTCAGCGTTTGCGGTTCTCTCCGGTCCGGAATTCGCCGGTCCAACCTCTTCAACTTCTCCGCCGGTTTTGTCGTTTTCCGGCCGCACTTCGCCGGGAACCGCCAGATCTGGTTTCTCGCCGTCTTTACCGTCATTCTCTTTCGCTTTCTCCTCCTCCAGCCTCTTCACCTCCAACTGCAGCGACCTTGGTATAAAAAAAACGGACCATTAAAAAAAACAAAAATTAAAGAAAAAGGTAAAATTAGATCTAAAACCTAAAAAGAATAAAATATTATCAGAAGAATTTCGGAGATTTACATAATGGAATCGTCGCGCCGCTGGACCTCGCGGCGGAGCTCGTCAACACGGAGTTTACGCAATTCGTCCAGCCAAGGGACGTGATCGGAGTTGTCCCCGGTGGCTTCGCCGTCATGTTGCGGCGGCGTAACACCGTCGTTGCATTGGTCGGCGAATCGGCGGCTGAGATCGTGAAATTTCTGCTCGCAGTGGCGCGCCGTGGCGAGGAGGCGCGTGGCGCGCGACTGAACCTCCATGGCGACGGTGTCCCAGTCCTTGAAGCCATGGCGGTTCACAGCGAACGCTAGCAACAACTCCTCCCACGTGCCCCACGCCTGGTTATTGTTTTGGTTTTGGTTGTTCTCTCTATCAGGTTCTGCCTCTCCCTTGTGGTTTTGGTGGTTTTCCATACGCTACGAGAAAGAAGAAGGAAAAAGAAAAATATGTTGTGGTTTAACCATAAACTGGCTCTTTCCAACACCCGCCTCCTCTTCTCACACCTCTTCAAATCCAATATCTTAATTATTATTTTTTAAAATAATATTTATTTTGAGAAACTAAATTAACTTTAATTAAATAAAATTAAAAGCAGTCATTAGGGTTTTTTCTTGCTTTTTCCATGGCTTAAGGCTCCTAACAAATCTCTCCTAAGCGGTGGTGTGCTTTGAGTTTGTGGCTTTTGGTTGGTAAAAATCTTCCAACTTCATCGTGTCATGGCTTGGGGGCTGGGGTTTTGGACGCGGTGGTGGTGCTCTAGTGTTTTGTGTGTGAAGGTTCGAGATTAGAAATTGTAACGTACCAAACCAACACTGTGCACTAACGTCTTCGTTCCACGGGTCTTACTTATCCTCAGCACATTACTCCAATGAAGCACTGAATTGAATTTTGCTTTCTACTTGCGACACTGACCCTTCAAATTGAATCGCCAATTTCTCTCCCTCCTTGTGCTTCGGGTTCTCCTCCAAATTGGACTCTTGACCCGCTTTTGGTTTTTCTTCTACCTTCTGTACTCTCTTCAGTGGCCCAATCTTTAGTACTTCCAATAAAGGCTCTTAAGCCCTGTTGTAATTTAAGTAAAACGAGTTACATGATTCTGTTCTGTCCCTTTTAATAACAAAAAGTAAAACAAATTTTGTGGTTACTGTTTTCAAAACTAAACTCTTTTTTTAATTATAAATTCATTACAACGTATTGTCATTAATGTTGCCCGGCCCATGTTGCACCATGAATCAGTTTATGGAGGGTTTATCTACTCTAAACCGTATATTACTATTAGTATTCATAAAGTATCCATACACACATGTTTTTATATATATATATATATATATAATACTATTTATTAATTTTCCATCAATAATTAGTATACTTAGTTTACTTTAAAAGTAAGTTGGTTACTTCAGAAAATCATTCTACAAGTGTTTAAAGTTTTCGTATAGTTCCTATTTTTCAATTGTGTGATGTAATTAATGGAAAATTTAAGACCTTGAATAACACACTAAATGTAAAAGGAGTAATTTAAAATAATGATAAAAAAAACATTTTATAAAATAGTATTTATAATTTTATACAGAATGTATTAACAAAACCCCACTTATCAATCTGCTAGCTCACTTTAGAGTACTAAAATATTATATCAGGCTGTTCTTACATCTTAAAAAAAATAATTAAAAGTGAGACGTAGAATAAAATTATAACCATTTTTGTTCACTGAAATTAATTGACGAGCTTCAAGTAGAAACGAGACAAATTATAATCAGCAAAGTGCGGTGAAACTTTTGAGTGATAGCTTGAGAAACTGGTGGTGTAAGCAATGTTTTTTTGTTCAAAACATAAATTTATTGTTTTAACTAAAAATTAAATATGGTTGTAAATTTTGTTTATTAACAAAAGTTCAATTTATATTATTATATTTTTGTTTAGGATTTTATAAATATAAAAAATATATTGATTTTAGCATTTAGTTCATTATTATAAAAATCAAAGTGTATATATATAATTGATTGTTGATTGTATTATTAAAAATTAAATATAATCAGTAGTTATATCAATGGATTAACTTTATATTCTGAAAATTCTTAATTAGTTTTTTCTCTTATATACGCATATACACTTTTAAATCAACTAATTATATATTTAAGAAGTGTTTTTCAATATTACACCAAAATGTACAATGATATATGTTGAACTTTTTTTTTGTTTGGAGAACTTATTAATTGAGTATTACACTTGATAAACTTAGTAAAATTTTCTTGCAATAGTTTAACTTTTTTTTTTATCCATAGTTCAAAATTATATCATTTAAATATAAAGGTTTAATCATTATGATAGTTCCTATTTATGTTGAGTTTTCTCAAATAGGTTTCTTTTTCTCTCTATTTTTTCAATTGGATCCCTAAAAATGCAAAATTAGTACAATTGGGTCCCTGATGTTAAATTGGGTTAACGGGTTAAAATTAAGCTGAGTTGTTAATGTGATGTGAAATCATTAATTGACGTGACACATTCAGAGCAGGTTACGTGGAATATGTGTAATTAAAAAATAAATAACAAGGGTTTATGAGAATTGAATTTAGGGTACTGCAAAACTGAACCCAATTTCTGATCGGAATTGGGTTCAGTTTTGGATTTCATGGTGAGACGCGGAGGCTGTTGGGATTTTCTGTGGTTTATGTTGCAAGTTTCAAATGATTTCGTGAAGAAGGAGAGTCGAAGGTGAACTCGTGATGAAGAAGAAGATTCGCGATAGGGTTTTCGCGAAAGAGGGTTTCGTGGCAGCGTATTTCGCGATTTTGTTTCTCTGGGTTCTCATCTCTTTTCAATTGTTCGCGACTTAGACTTCAATAAGATGAGGAAGATGCAGAAATCTATAATGGCCCAATCGAAGTCACTAAAAGCCTTTATCTGAATGTAGGAGTCAACAACAAAAAAGTCCTTTTGAAGGGCTGGACTTGATGTACTTAAGGATATGCTGCAAAGCCTTCTAATGAAATTTATTAGGTGCTTGCATAAATTGGCTTAACAAATTGACAGTAAAACACAAGTCAGGTCTAGTATTGGTGAGATAAAGTAACTTCCTTATCAATTTGCGATAAGAGTGGGGATTATCTACATAGTTCTTTATTTTATATAGAAAATTTGTATTACTCAAAAAAGGAGTAGAGCATGGCTTGCTTCCTAGCATTCATATTTCTTCAAGAATACCCAAAGCGTATTTCCTTTGATAAAGATGAATACCCTTCTTAAACCTAGCCACTTCAAAGATTATGAAGTATTTAAGCTCTCTTAGATTCTTGATTCGAAATTGATGGTGTAAAAGAGCCTTTATGTGATTAATCTCTATCATAAAATTTCCTACCAAAATAATGTCATCTACATACACAAGTATGACTGTGAAATTTGTTGATGTTTTATCAATGAAGAGAGAATGATCAGATTTAAGAAAATATCAACATATTTCATAGTCCTACTGGCCCGTTTTCTTAGAAGATATAAGAAAGGTGGATGATTTTTTAAACCATTGCCTACTAGCTCGTTTTAGACCATATAAAGACTTAGTCTTCAAACTTGTACTTTTTCATGAACAATTAAACCAGGTGGTTGCTCGATGTAAACTTCTTCATTTAAGTCTCCATGTAGAAAGACATTATCCACATCAATTTGGTGTAGGAACCAATTCTTTGAGGCAACAAGGGCAAGTAGTAATCTGACAGTAATGAGTTTGACAACAAAAGAAAAAGTGTTTAAAAAGTTTATTCCTTATTATTGCGTATATAACCTTTGTCCACTAAGCGGGCCTTATACCTTTCTATGGTGTCATATGCCTTGTGTTTGATTTTGTATATCCAGGAGGAAGTTGAGTTAAATACCAAGTACCATATTCTTGTAAGGCTTTAATCTCTCTATGCATATCATCCGCTCTCTTAGGGCTGACTTTGGCTTCATCATAGGAATGAGGTTCACTATTGGAAGTTATAGCTATGGTGTATTTTAAGTGTTTCTCAGACAAGGAGTCATAAGATAAAATGTCAGAGATAGGATAAGGAGTTTTTAAACCATTTTTTACACATAAGGATTTAGATGAGGATTGATTAACCTGATGTATGTAGTTATTCAAGTATTTAGGGGTGCTTTTAACTCTGATGGACTTTTTGTGATTATGAACTCTTTCACTTTTAGTAGAAATAATGTTGTTGGTATTATAATTTTCATTAGGGTTTTGGCCATTGTTGTTACTCCCAACCAGGCTTTGTTCATTAACAAAGTTATAACTGCATGAAAGATCGTTAAGAAAAATCATTTTATCCTCTTCATTACCGTAGGTTTCCTTATTGCTTTGCTAGCTTTTGTATGGGAAAATATTTTCATAAAAGATAACATTCCTACTTATAAAAATTTCCACAGTGTTGATGTCAAACATAATGTAACCTTTCATACCATTTTTATAACCAAGAAAAACGTCTTTTCTAGCCCTATGATCTAGTTTATTTATGTTATTTTCCAAAGTGGAAGCAAAGCATAAGCAACCAAAGGTTTTTAATTTGAGATAAGTCGAAGGAGTGTCATACATCATATCATAGGGAGTTATGCCATTAAGGACAGAAAAAAGCCTATTTATTAAATATATGGCATGAAATACAGCATAAGACCAATAAACATTAGGAATATGGATTGAAAAAGCATGCTACGTGTATGTTCAATATATGCTGGTCTTTACGCTCCACTACAGAGTTTTGTTGGGGAGTTTCAACACAACTTCTTTGGTGGTCAATACCATGAGAGTCATACAAAGAAGTAGAGTTAAACTCATGTTCATTGAATTTTTAATGATTTTTACGATTTTATCAAATTGGTTTTTAATTTTTACTATAAAATTATGCA